AATATAAAATGTAACCTTCTTCCTCACTCTGGTACCCATTCCCCCTCTAACCAATGCCTGTGTCCCCCAATTTTGGACAATTGCTAATCCAACATCAGGGAATTCACAGAATAACATAACTTGCTATAGTGTGGAGAAAGGCCATTTGGCCCAACTAGTTTGACGAACAGTTCTGACGAAGGGTTGTGGACCCGAAATGTTGACTCACTTTCCTTTCTCCATAGATGCTGCCTGACCTGCTGAGTGTTCCCAGCGACTTCCGGTTTTGTTATAAGGATTATTATTATAGCTTCTGGCAGTGAGTTCCACACTGATTTACCAAAAACATTGTTACTGTGCCACCAGCCTAGCCACACTGCCTTCCGCAGTGTCTCAAACCATCTCAGTACAAGTACAATGTACATTGTGCTATTGAATTTTACATTCCTTTCATTACACCAATGAATAAATTTCCTCACAGTGATTGATGCAGGCCTCTAAGACCTGGCTGCCCAGGCTCCAGAGACATTTACATACACTGTAAGTGACTGTGTAAGTGAAGCACAAAGGAGAGCAACGAGGTTTTAGGCACTATATCAAATGCAAGGATCATTTATCTAGAGGACGTGAAAAGCACTATATGAAATGCAAGGATTATTATTATTATATTATTATTTATTATTGCATGATTTTAAATTAGTTCAGCCCAACATCGGATTTCAAAGTTGCACAACAGCAGAGCAGAAAGTGAATTCTTTGATCTGTTTTTCTTTCCAAATTGGACTAAAGCAAGTGCAGAGTTGAATAGGAGTTGGCTGTGTGTATTTTGCGATATAGCACATGATTGACGAATGCCTTTTATAGATTCAGCTGCGTGACATACTGGTCGAACCTGTTTGTGACAACTTCCACACAGCCTGCTTTGTAAACGCCACTCTACTATTTCATGTAGTATTAGATCAATTGAGAACTGATTCAATTCACACTGCTTAAAACGTGGCTAAGGAACCTGAGTAACACACCAGAAACTATTTGGAGTGTGGCTGCTCATTGACGTAAGTAGTGAAATTTCAAACCCCAGAGGGGCAAGGCTGCTATTGTGTCTGTCTTGACTCATCTCTGCCTGTTACCTCTCCTCCTCCCTCCCCTCCACGGTCCATTATAAAATTAATTAGCACTAGCTGAAGGCCTTCCTGTCCCCAGCGTCAGGCAAAGTATTGCAGGTCGTAAAATGCTTCATTATTAATGATAATCCATGCATTTGATGTAGCGGCTTTCACATTGGGAGGATGACTCAAAGTACTTCACAGGATTTTACTGTAATGTATAGTTGTGGGCAAATTGTAAATTGTATGATCGTCTAAGTTGTTCAGTCACCCGAGTCCCATTCAGTTTTTTGTCAAAAATCCCTTAGATTTCTACTTGATTTAATCATCTTTTAACTTGTAACGCCACTCCCCTATCCTCCAGTGCTCCCACTCATACCAGCGGCCTTGAATCGCGGGAAGTCACGTCCTGACCCATTGCTACACGTGTGTTTATTGACCGGCTGCATTGAATCGCGGGAAACATAGTCTTCATCCATCGCCGCGTGCGCAGAAGAACTTCATTCCCCTTGATTCCATGCGACTCCAGGGCTTGCCCGTAAGTGCACATGTGGCAACAGATCAAAGCGCATTGAATCACAGGAAACGTAGTCTTAACCCGTCACCATATGTCACCACTTACGGGTTGCATTAAATTACACGTGCGCAGTGTAGATTATTGATTAAATCGGATTTTCTATGATTTATACAGTTTGCCTGCAACTCGGACCTTGCGTAAGTCACATTAAATGTTATGGTCCCTGAACAATATGACTTCCGTGAGTTTTACTGCATTGTATCATCACCACAGCCAGGGTGACTCTTGGTGTTAACAAAGTAATAGATGCTTAAACTGAAATGTCCTGTTTCTACCACACTCCTACACTTATTATGAAATCCTGTCCTGTTAAAACATCAAACCCAAAAAATAGCAACAGGTGTCAGCTCAGAGTAAAAAGCTGGTGCCTTGGCTACAGACAGACATGTACCGGGGGCTTTTCACAGTCAAACCAGGGGTCAGGACCCAGACTATAGAGTGAAAACAACACCCAGGGCCATGGAGGAACCTGCTTGTGAAAAGGGAAGAGATCTTGGATCTGACAGACAGCTTTTGTCCAAAAAAAAGCTTTAATGCAAAACTTTAAAACGACAGTAACCAAAACACACTATACAGTAAACCGCACCTCAGTCGTATCAATTGGGATCTTACATTTCATATGATTTACGCAAAATATGAGTTATGAGAAACTTACACATAATAGGAAATTGAATGTGACTCGGGTAGATGATAACAATAATAATCCTTGCATTTGATACAGCGCCTCATCAAGTTTCAAAGCACTTCACAGAATACACCGTAAAGTGAATTGACCTTATATTTGTGTATATTATTTCATTTATACAGATCAGACTTATGCAAATTTTGCCGTACTCAAAATCCTCATGAATTATCAAGCGAAATGAAATCCGTTTTTTGCAGCATTTAAAAGTTGTTTGAAAGCAAACTACCTAACCACCTGTAGTTTTTTTTTAACATACAGATGTTCCCCTACCTATCACAAGCCAAACACAAATACACATCCGTAAAACCTGCATCGGTTTGGTAAAAACAATGCCCTCTCCACTATTTTCTCAACAGCAAACAAACCTGAACGCATCTTGGCTCTCAATCCCTCACAGTAACTTTCCCCCCCCCCGCCCAAAAAAAAAAGTCTTTAGAGAAAACTTTTTTTTAAAAAAATCACACACGATCTACTGAACGTGCTGATGTTTTCAATGTAGGTTTTGCTGCCATGTTGTGTTGCCTTTCACAGCATAAAGCACTCCTTGCAAAGCTCTCAAAGTGCACTGCACCACTTTTCAGTCGGGAGCAAATCATTTCCCCGTTTATTTTCCGCATTGCATTGCAACCAGAAAGAAGTCAGCGGTGCAGAAATAATTACAAACGGTTAACAAGCTCCGTTTGAGGGATGCGAAAAAAAATAAAACTCAGGTGGCGTTTGGGGGATGTTTGGAATCGCTTCCCAGAGAGTCGGAAGCAAATCACCGCTTTTACTTCCGCGAAAAAAGAGATGCCAGGAATTGGGACATCTGTACGCGTATGTATATATGTATGTGTGTGTGTGCATGTGTGTATGTATGTGTGTGTGTATGTACGTTTGTGTGGATGTGTGTGTATGTTTGTGTGTATGTTTGTTTATTTATGTGTGTATGTTTGTTTATTTATGTGTGTCTATGTATGTGTATACATGTGTGTGTATGGGTGTGTGTGTATATTTGTCTATGTATTTGTGTATGTGGGTGTGTTCGTCTGTGTGTGTTTACCTCTGTGTGTATGTGTCTATGTGTGCCTATGGGTGGGTTTATGTGTGTGTGTGTGTATGGGTGGGTGGGTGTATGTTTATCTCTGTGTGTATGGGTGGGTGTATGTTTACCTGTGTGTATGTTTATATCCATGTGTGTATGTGTTTACTTGTGTGTGTGTGTGTAGGTGTGGGTGAGTGTGTGTTTACCGGTGTGTGTCTGTGTGTGAATGTGTTTACCTGTGTGTGTGTGTGGGTGTCTGTTTATCTGTATGTGTGTGTGTGTGTGTTTACCTGTGTGTGTGTTTACCTGTATGTGTGTGTGTGTGTGTGTATGTGTTTACCTGTATGTGTGTGTGTGTGTGTGTGTGTGTTTACCTGTATGTATGTATGTATGTATGTATGTATGTATGTATGTATGTGTGTGTGTGTGTGTGTGTGTTTACCCGTATATGTGTGTGTGTGTGTGTTTACCTGTATGTCTGTGTGTGTGTGTTTACCTGTATGTGTGTTTACCTGTATGTATGTATGTATGTATGTATGTATGTATGTATGTATGTATGTATGTATGTGTGTGTGTGTTTACCTGTATGTATGTGTGTGTGTTTACCTGTGTGTGTGTGTGTGTGTTTACCTGTATGTATGTGTGTGTGTGTGTGTTTACCTGTATGTATGTGTGTGTGTGTGTGTTTACCTGTGTCTGTGTGTGTGTGTGTGTGTTTACCTGTGTGTGTGTGTGTGTGTGTGTGTGTGTTTACCTGTGTGTGTGTGTGTGTTTACCTGTATGTGTGTGTGTTTACCTGTGTGTGTGTGTGTGTTTACCTGTGTGTGTGTGTGTTTACCTGTGTGTGTGTGTGTTTACCTGTGTGTGTGTGTGTTTACCTGTGTGTGTGTGTGTTTACCTGTGTGTGTGTGTGTTTACCTGTGTGTGTGTGTGTGTGTTTACCTGTGTGTGTGTGTTTACCTGTGTGTGTGTGTGTGTGTGTGTGTTTACCTGTGTGTGTGTGTGTGTTTACCTGTGTGTGTGTGTTTACCTGTGTGTGTGTGTGTGTGTGTTTACCTGTGTGTGTGTGTGTGTGTGCGGAGAGTGTGGAGTACCGCCTCCAAACCAAACCAGACCGACCTCACAGACAGACAGACTGACTGACTGACGGACTGACTGACGGGTCCCTTCCCCTTCTCGTGGATTTCAGAGCGGGAGCGCCTCCCCTCGCGGTGGGTATTGGCTGTCGGCGCCGCCCATCACCGCACAGGTATAGTGCAGGTGAGCGCCAGAGCCCTCCAGAGCCACACGAGCCCCGAGAGGAGCAGCTCCACAGCGAGTGCTCGTCTCGCCTTCACAACCCCGGACCTGTGTGTGTGTGTGTGAGAGAGTGTGTGAGTGAGATTTTCTTTATGTTATTTTTTTCATAGCCCCCCCTTTTCCCCCAATTCTTCGAGCTCTTTGCATCTCTCCCCCCCCTCACCCCCACCAGCAACAACCCCCCCCCCCCCTCCCTCCCTCCCTCTCTCTTTTTTTTAACCCCCAACTTATACCATTGATATCATTTTTATAGGTTTTTTTTTGAAAAAAGCAACAACAAAAAAGTGTGTGTGTGAGGGCTGTGGGTGAGGGGTTGGGGGTGGGGTGGGGTGGGGTGGGTGGGGGGGGGTTCAGGTGATCGGTGGGGGCAGAGGAGAGTGGTCCTGAAGGGATGTCGAGCAGTGGACTTGCGATCAGTGTCCCCAACTCAGAAGAGAGCGTCGTGTTCACTCAACTCAAACCAGTGGCCATGTCTGTGGGGAACCCGGAGGAGCACTCGGTCTTCGAGGACATCAAACCCATCAGAATGCCGGAGAGTACCCACGACCTGACCCAGGTAACAGCGGGGAGACCCACCCACTGCCCCCACCCCCCCCAACACCACACAAAAGGGGGCTTCTTCCCCTCCACACACCCCCCCTCCCCCACACATCCCCCCCCCACCTCCCACCCCCCCCCCCACCTCCACACATCCCCCCCACCTCCACACATCCCCCCCCACCTCCACACATCCCCCCCCCCTCCACACATCCCCCCCCCCCACACATCCCCCCCCCCCCTCCACACATCCCCCCCTCCACACATCCCCCCACCTCCACACATCCCCCCCCCACACATCCCCCCACCCCCCACACATCCCCCCCCCCCACACATCCCCCCCCCCACACATCCCCCCCCCCACACATCCCCCCCACACATCCCCCCCCTCCACACATTCCCCCCCTCCACATCCCCCCCCTCCTCCCCACTATCCCTCCCCCCTCCCCCCTCCAATCCCCCCACCTCTCCCCCTCACCTCTCCCCCTCCTCCTCCAAACCTCCCTCCTCTTTTAACACCTCGTGTTAACAGTTCGCGAAAAAAAAACATCGACTCACATGCGGGTCATTGGCCAAATACCATCCATCCATCCATCGGTTTGTCGGTCAAAGTTTTGCTCCGAAGCCTTTTTTTTTTTTTTTTTCCTTTTGTTTTGGTTTTTTTTTGTGTGGGGGGGAGGGGTTGGGTGGGGGGGAGGGTTGAGTTTGGTCAGAGAATGTCCAGGAGGGAGGGAGGGAGAGAGAGGGGGGGAGAGGGGGGAGAGGGTTTGGGGTGGGTGGGGGGTTGGGTTGGGGGGGTTTGGGGGGGTCATGAGAAACTGCACAAGAATCTGTCAACATGTGTCTGCTGTGTGTGTGTTCATTCCAAGTGAAATCTACTTGAGAAAGGAAGGAGGAACAGAGAGAGAGAGAGAGAGAGAAAGAGAGAGAGATTATTTGAGGGTCTGATTTGCAGCGTTGGAACAATGTAAAAGTTGGGAATATTATGAGAGAGTTGTTTTTTTAAAAGAAAAAAAAATCAGAAAAGCTCCACCCATCCATACAGGGTAGAACTGCAACATCCCAGAGAGTGGCACTGATTGAAGAGTTCCTTTGTAGCCAAAGCTCCAGATGAAATGGAAAGTTATTCCGAGTGCTTAAGTCATCGGTTTTTGCCTCCAGGTGATGAACGGTTGCGATTCTGGTTTTATTGTGAGCGTTTTCCACAAGCCGCCGCGAAAAAGTTTTGCTCGACTAGCGTTCACCTCAAATGTTCATTTAACTTGAGATTTGTGGGTTCGGAACGCCCACCCGGGTCGAGATTTACTCCATAGCTTTCCAGAAATTGCCGAATAATAATAATAACCCTTGCATTTGACTATGGCGCCTGATCACGTCGTTGAGACGTCTTAAAGCGCTTCGCAGAATATGCTGTGTATTCTGTGAAATCTATGATTTCTCACAGATTTGCTGAAATCAGTTTCAGCTCTGAAGCCATCGTTTTCTGGCGTTCTCGAAAGAAAGGTGCAGAAAATCAGCTTTGAAAAATAAATGCAAGAAATTAGGCCAATTCTGGACATTCTGAGATCCTAAACTGACAAGTATTCAACCCAGAAAATGTATTTTGTTGGCGCACCAAAAAGGTTGGCCACCGCTGAGCTCGATCCTGGTGGAATTTTTACCTGCTGCTGCCTCACCCTGAGTCAGTCAGTAACAACAACAACTTGCATTTGTATAGCGCCCTTCACACGGGACAGCGTCTCAGGAGCGCTTAACGGTGGCGAAGTGACGCCAAGCTGTGGGGGTGGGGGAGAGGAAGTGACCATAAGCACGGTCAAAGAAAAAGGTCTTCAGTCTTAGGAAGTGAGTGAGAGCAAGAAGGTCTTCAGGAAGTAAGCGAGAGCAAGATTGGAGACACTTTACACAGCATTCAAGCGTTTCGTTCCAAGCACCTTATCGAGAGCCTGGGTAGAAAGAACCCCACAGAAGGAAAGAGCCGAGCACTGACCTCATAAGTGAAAGTCTCCGCCAATCCGTTAGAAAAGCTCGTGAGGGTGGAAGCCCCGCTCACACAGACTAGGAAGTAACCAAACTCAATGGGAAGGTTGTCAGGGGAGTGGGGGTAGGGGGAGAAAGAGAAAGGCAACAAAAAGCAAAGAAATGTTTGAGAGGAATGCACTCACACAGCTTGTTAAAGTCCCTGGCTCGGTGTCTAGACTCCTTATCTCTGTGCTTCGGGCATTCAGGTGGGAAGCATTAATGACTTCATAAGTTGGCGTCAGTTCTTGTTCTCTATTGAGCTTAGTGCTGTTTAGCAGAGCTGCTTTCTGTGGGGGGGGGGAGTCGGGGGCTCGAGCGTGAGCTGATTTTCTGAATGTCATTTTAATTTAATTAAAAGATGATTGGTATCCACCCTCTCCTTCCCCCCTGGTGTGCAGATGAATAACTAGTTATTCTCAGCAAGCTACACTGATCCAGGTGAATCGTGCCCTTGGTGACTTCATTCCTAAGAGCATTTCTAACTGTAGTTTTTAAAAGTGCGTTCGCCGCAGAATGCCCAGTCAATCCTGTGAAGCGCTTTGAGGCATCTCGGAGACATGGTATAACAATAATCCTTGCATTTGACATAGCGCCTTATCGTACCTCATAGAATATATTGTAAAGTGGATTTCTAGGCGAAACACATGATGTTATATCAAAGGCAAGACTACTAGCACCTTTTATGAATCTGTTCACTGCTCTCTGGACTTCCCCGAGCTCAGGTCAATAGCCAGGTTCCAGCTTACCAGAGGCCCTCTGGCAGAGCGAGCAAATTAGTTCCCGAGCTGGCAAGTGTATAATTGCAATGAGCTGGGCACTGGAGAGTGCCATGTGCTCAGTCAGTGAGGGAAATAAACAAGCAAATCACCAGGCTAGAGTTAATACGAAAGACCTGAACTCTGGGGAAGAACATTCACGGCAGGTGAAACAGCAGCAGAGAGATAAACGTCAACATCTGGGGTGCGATTTGTTAATAATAATAATCCTTGCATTTGCTATAGTGCTTTATCACGTCGTTCGTTCAGACATCTCAAAGCGCTTCACAGGATATACTGCAAAGTGGAGTGACTGTATTTTGTGGGCGAAATGCGGCAGGCAGTTGTGTACACAATGTCTCACAGACAGCCATGGAGTGAGTGACCAATTTTATATGGTTGGCCAGGACACAGGGGGGTTAGAAACTCTATTCTCTTTTCGAATAGTGCATTGGGATCTTTAATGTCTTAGCACGCCAACTACTGTTACAGTAACTGCACAGAAAAACTAATGGGTCATTAACAGGTGTGAAATAGAGAAAGTGCTGTACACCAGCAGAATATAGAGATGTGAGCTAACTTGTGACCACAGCAAGCGCAGGTTCATTCCGGTACAACAACAACAAAATTACATTTATGAAGCATGGGAGGATGGGGATAATGCAGGAGGCAGGAGAAAGTCTGAAGATATTATAGGGAAAGGTGAGACCAACTAATTGCAAGCTTTATTGAAAAGTGATCAGTGGGAAATTGGATCTTAGCTATAAAGTCATCCATTCAATAAAAAAAATGTATTCAGATATACAAGCCTGGATGTATTCTGTCCAGGAAGAACCAGTTTATCACTCAGTGTTGTCTCTTACTCATGCCCCATTTCTGCTCTTGAATTATTCTTGGAACGAAAGAACCAACTTACATTTTTTTAGCACCTTATCACGTCAAAATACGTCAAAATCCTTAACAAGTAATTTCTATCAAGTTCAGTGAGTAGTGTTAGAGGGAAACGCATCATTCATTTCCCCACTAACTACCATGAGGTGACTGATCGATTAATCAGCAGGACTGTTGGCTAGTACACATGGACAAACACATTTCTCTTTTCGAATAGTGCCACGGGATCTCTAACATCCACCTGAACAGGCAGTCGGGACCTCGATTTAACACCTCAACCGAAAGACGGAATCTCCAACAGGTTGAAAGCTAGTTTTAGCTTTTTAGGATTTTAGCAACTATTAACTTAAGCTTATGTTGTTGCTCTGTATGATGTGACTTATGTTTTTAGATAACTATATGTTCAATAATCCTGGAGTCTCTCTGCCTTGTCCCCTCTCTCCCTGCTCAAGACCTTTGTTTTCAACCCCTCTTTTGGTCACTTCTCCCACCCCCCCACCCACCTTCCCCCCCCCCACCCCGCACCACCCCCCCGCCCCATCCTGCTCCAGCTTGGGCTCCCAAGCACTTTAAGAAGTCCTCTCAACATGAAAAATGCTGTATAAATGTAAAATTGTTGTAGTTTAGTTTGTGCAGCACTCTCTATGTGTGAGAGCATATGTGTGGGTGTATTATTAACTTAGACTGAAGAACAATATGAAATGAAGGGAAACAGAGCCTTTGAATCAAGCTTGTGTTGGATAGATACCTGAAAGCCAGATTGGTGCGTATCTGGTGAATAGCATCAGGGTACATTCACAATCCATTACCGAAGGACAGACACCACTGGTTTGAATCTGATCTCAGTGTTGAATCTGTCCCCTATGGTTCGAGAAAGTCTTAAAAATAATTAGTTAGGCCATTCAGTTTGCCCACTAAACACGCAATCAATCCACTTTACAGTGTATCTTATGAAGTGTTTTGAGACGTGCTCCCAACGTGAAAGATGCTATATCAAATATAAGGAATATTATTCTTAATACTAATGTAAGGAATATTGTTATTAATACCGATGTAAGGAATATTGTTATTAATACTGATGTAAGGAATATTCTTATTAATACCAATGTAAGGAATATTCTTATTAATACCAATGTAAGGAATATTCTTATTAATACCAATGTAAGGAATTTTATTAATAATTTTTTTGAAAAAATAAATCCTGAAGGTTGATTTCAATCTTGAAACGTAGCTTCTGACGGGTTGGTCAGACGAGAAGAAACTATGAAGAGAGATTTCATAAAGCAAATTATCACATGAAATGCATTATGAAAACCACAAATTTCACCCCATTAAAGATAATTGCACGGTTGTGGCAGCTAATGGCATTCTCTCCCCTACCACATTGTTGTGCAAATCTCACAAGCACCAATCGTGTCACGCGTTTGTTGTTACGATTCCCGAACATATAGCTTTCTTCAGAAAAGTACACATTCTTTCAACAGAATACATTAGAATTAAAGTATAAGCCAGAATGATAAATCTTTAAATAATAATCCTTGCATTTGATATAGCGCCTTATCACGTCTTTGAGTCGTCTCAAAGCGCATCACAGAATATGCTGTTAAGTGAATTGACTGTATGTTTTGTGGGCAAATAAATGTCCCATCAACAGTAGAACTGAAACGATCACAAACCATTAATATTGCAGGGTGGGTTTTGTTGGGAAGAATCCACGACTGCAGTGGTTTTAGGTTGTCAACGAATAATGAGGCAGTTAAGTGGACGTGTTGATGGATTAGAGTACGAGGGCGAGACAGGTTTGTGTACACTCTGCAAACCTACTGCTTTCAAAGGTATTTTGTAAACACTGAACGGAATGGAGGATTTTAAGGAGAGAGGAACTCCCATCCCCTTGAAAAAAATAAAGCGACAGAATTTTATAACTTTACAATTTTAACATTTGCCTCATTAAGCAATGTGAGCGACAAAGAAAAGAAGCTGGAAATATTATAATAATAATCCTTGCATTTGATCTAGCACCTTATCACTTTGTTCACCGTGAATTGACTGTGAGTTTTGTGGGCAACTTCCAATACCTGTATTCCCAGTAAGGTTCCAGTCTCGGACAGTAAAGGGCCCTTTAAGACTGAGCTGCGTTTACAAGTCCTGTTGAACACAACCTTATTTACACTTGTTTTGCCTCTAGTGTCCAGCTTGGTGGAAACAACTGTGTTTCATAATTACCACTTACTTAAAAAAAGCCCCCCCAATGTCAATTTCTACATTTAAAAGTAATAATGATCCTTACATTTGACACAGCGCCTTTCACGTTGACAGGACATCTTAAAGCGTTTATCGCAGGATATGCCATAAAGCAGAGTGACTGTGGGCAGGTGCGGCAGCTTATTTGCGCAGAGCAACGTTCCACAAACAGCCATTAAACTATTAGAAACAGAAGTGAATATTCACTTCCACCACTTCGAGGAGACATCCCACCGCTGTCTATTTACTTAGCATTTTGGAGCGTCTAGAATTTAGTAAATCCTTAAATTTGTTGCCTGTTATGTTCTTTTGAGGACCGCAGGAAACCAGTTTTAGGGATAAAACCAAACAATTTACTAAAATTCCACACATTCTGAGAAAATAAAATTAATCTAATCCCAGGTGAAATTTCTCCCCATTGATTGAAAATCTCCCGTCTCTCTGTAACTATCGATGCAAGAATTGAAAGTCTCCAAACATATTTATTGTAAAGAGAAACTTTTAAGGCCCAATCTTATTATACTTTTTGTTCCTTTCTCTCCTCCCTACCCCCCAAAGAATAGAAGGTTACTTGAAGTTCACCTTTTTTTGAAGCTGTATTAATTTCAGAGAAGTTAGCGTTGGTTTCAAAAGAGAAAAGTTTGCATCTAAACCCTAGCTTGTCAGTAGTAAAGTCGGTTGTTTATAGTAACATGGCTGTGCTCTGAATGACCGATGCTCAATTATGCTCCATTAATCCTGCTTCCAGGCCTACGATGCTGCTGATCTGAAATCAGGTTAAAAAAATCTCACAGCATTCAGCGGCAGACTTTGAAGCACCTGCAAACTAACAATGAGGCCAGGGACTGATGGTCAGGGGATACCTGCCTTTGAATGTGACTAATTGGTGTTGGCATTCAGTTGGTGAAACTGAAAAAACATCCGTTTCATTAACAGAGCTTCAGATAAAGCCCCCACATACTTCAGATGCTCTTTCACTGAGATCACATTGAATACTCCAAGCTGGGCTCTGTTTACTTTCAATAGCATTAACCGTAATACGGGGAACAGTCTTTCCCATACATTTCTAACCAGCCTGACAATCTTCGCTCATTATCCCCAGGGGGAGGAGAAGTGAACTTTCTTTCCCCTCAAAACATAACTTTATCAGAAGTTGCGAGGGGAGCTAAAACATATGTACTCTTTTTGCCAGCATACCTATCTCGGTCACTCACTCGGTTTATTGCAGGTCATAAATATACTTTTTTTTCACCCCGTGAATGCTGCAGTGTTTGAATCAGAATTCGAGCATGTTAATCTTTTGGCCCAAGGGACCAAAAAAAAAAAGTTGAACATTTAGCTCAGTCACTGAACAGAACTTAACAAAGTCTTTATATTCAAGGACATCAAGGCCAAGTACTTGCCTATTGCACCCCATAACTTCTCAGTCTAACTTAGGGGAATTTCTATAGTAGAGTTAAAATGAAAATCTCAATAGTCCTGCAATACAGAATTGTCAAAACGTCTCCAGTTTGCCCTTTTAAGGCAGGATCTGGACACTCAAATGAGAAATTTTAAATGAAGCATTACCCAATGCCTGGTTTCTTTACAATAAAGACTTGTAGGAGTCCTGTTGCTCAGTAGTTAGAGCACTCGCCTCGCAAGCGATTCCCGGCAGGGTGAAACCTTGGGCAAGTTGCCTTACTCTACACCTGATAATGATCCCTCTTGAAAAAAAAACAATAATAACTTGGTTACCCAATCCACGACTGTTTGTGAGACACTGCTGTACTCAATTGGCTGCCGCATTTCGCCCACAAAATATAGTCAATTCACTTTACAGTCTATTCTGTGAAGCGCTTTGAGACGTCCAGATGACATGAAAAGTGCTATATCAAATGCAAAGATTATTATTATTAATGCAAGTCATGCATACCGCACCATAGGAGTCATTATTGTCCAATAACTGCATGTGTTGACTTTGTGGTTCTTCGGTACTCACAGCAAGTGTCCATAGGTTATGTCTGAGTCAAAATATTGCACACATGCTATTGTGTAATGTATATATCACAGATTGACAAGCATTTCTCTCTGGCCCTGCAACACTAATTTTAACTTTAACATTAACTTTCCTGAAACACAAGACTAGTTCCTCATCCAACTTAGCAACAGTCCACTGCTCTGTTTTTTTGCTGGTTGGTGATGTCTACCAAGTATAAATGGGTTTCTTCTAAAAAAAGATGGTTTGTTTGACTGATTGATTGAAAGCAAACCTTAATTTGTTCTGAGGACCAGTGTGTAAAGGCACTGCGCAGTGTAGCACGGTTAACACAAAGCAGAAGGTTGCAGGTCTGTCTGTCTGCTCTGTGCTGAGGGAGTTGGCCCAAGCAGTTGAGACAGTACAGTTGGCCTCAGCTCTCCTGAGCTATGGAAGGGTAAATCAGCCAAAGTGTTTACTACTACTGCTGCTGCTCAGCAACACCCAAAGACCCCTGTTGGAAGGCACACACATGTGTGAACATTAGGATGTTGCTTGTTTGCATTGCCCCCGCCCGCATTCAAATAATCGCCCTCCAACACGCAAAGTTTAGCCTTATACATGACTTATCGCCACTTGAGCAAAGTGCTGGACCACAGCAATTAAAGGAAAAATAAGTGAAACTACTCGAGGAGGAGGAAACCAGGGGGAAAAAAATCCTTAAAACCCAGGCAGTCAGTACCATTGCCTCAAAACAAGTTTTAGCAAAATCTTCGGTGTACAAAGAAGATAAAAACATTTTTACGAGTGTAAAAAAAAATGTAAAAAGCTGGAAAAATGTACGTCATAGATTTTGATCAAATTTATAAAAACCTGCACACATTCTATGACATCTCATATTCTTTTCACTAATTTCAGGATACACTGAACACCTGGCCAAAAACATTCACTTTCCAGCATTGTTATCACTTTCTGATTAAGACCTTTTGAAGCGTAAGGCAGTGTATCAAATACGAGTGTGTATTTATTATGAAGCTGAGCACATGAAAGAACGTGGAACAAAGTAGCCCCCATGTCACACCGGTCTCTTTACAAAAGCATTCTGCAGGTCTGCACACACAACCATTTTATCTCAAGAGCTCAGAGGAGACAACAGAGAATCTTGTTAAAATGGCTATGGCTGGGAGAGGCACTTACTAACTTCTTGAGTATTAATTTGAGTTAATGAATTGACATGGAAACAGTGCAATGCATTGATTACATTGATATAGTGCCTTTCACATTGGGAGCATATCCCAAGGTGTTTGACAATCCTAGCTTGGCACCCGACCTGGGAAACAACAATCTGTAGCAAGTTTCTGAAGGAAATATCCAGGACTCCTCTAATGTCTTTACGTGACAGAAGGTGGGGAAGGTTTTGGGAGAATAGAGAGATAGATGGGAATGTCACCTCGCAGGATTTTCAGGCTTGACAAGTTCTGTAAATCCTTATCAAGTCATAGAGAATGTGAAACTGATGCCTGGAAATGCAGAGTTCTCACCCTCCACAGATCTCTTTCACAGAGTACATGTAACACATGGAAAGCTATTACAATCTGGGCCCAAGAGCTTATACCTATCAGCTGTTTCCTTACATTCTCAGTGAATAAAGGAAGTCTAAGGGAGACTGCTAAGTGACTGATTTACAGTAATGTGGGTGCTTGCTTGCTTGTAAAGAATCTGTCAAACGCAACAAGATTAACATCAGTAGGAAAAGCACAGCTGCACTTGGGTCAAAGACAGGAAAATAATCACTTGTCCCAATTAAATTCTACCTCTTCCAGATGCCAGTCAAATGATTAACAGAAAAACAATTTAACAAGAGGTTGAATTGCTGCCTTCTTAGAATCACAATAGCGCCAATCTCCATGTTCTCTGTGATACAATCTGAAGTCAAATAATATTGACCTGACATATTTGTGTGCGAGGGGGAGGGAAGAAAATTGTACATTCCTATTGGTTTCAGTGCATTTTTGATCAATTGATAAGAAGGACAATCTGCTTAAAAAATGGAGGTTCAGTTCAGATTGAGGTACTGTATACAGCAATAACAACTTGCAAATATATAGCAGCATGGTTCCATATTTGCACACTACAACTCACCAAGCCAGTCAGGAACCTAGGTGTCTTGTTCGACCCTCAACTGTCTTCTCCCCCACATTCAAGCCATGACCTTCCCTCACCTCCGTAACATCGCCCGACTCCGCCACTACCTCACCCCTCAGGCCGCTGAAACTCTTGTTCATGCCTTCATCACCTCTAGGCTCCACTATGCAAACACCCTGCTTGTGGGCCTTCCAAACTCCTCCCTCCACAGGCTGTAGATAATCCAGGACTCTGCAGCCCGTGTCCTCTCCCGCACCAAAGTCCGTGACCCCCATCTCCCCCACTCTCACCCGACTCCATTGGCTCCCTATCCTTCAGAGGATCCAGTTCAAGATCCTGGTCCTCACAAACAAAGCCCTCCATGGCCTCGCCCCACCCTATCTCTGTGACCTCCTAACCCCCTACCAACCCGCCCGCTCCCTCCGCCCAGCCAGCTCTGGCCTGCTCCACGTCCCCCGACCCACCCATCCCGCCATTGGCAGGAGAGCCTTCAGCCACTCTGCCCCCAACCTCTGGTGCTATCCATCCCCCAGACACTCTGCCTGGCCCCCTCCTTAGCCTCCTTCAAGTCCCTCCTCAAGACCCTCCTCTTCGATGATGCTATCAGCCACCCCCCTCCCTTCCCCAACCCCCCGATCCCAGCTCGGGTCTGAAATGCTGTTGTCTGTCCAGCGCCTTGAGACGTCCTCCTGACGTGAAAGGCGCTATACAAATGTAATCTTGTTGTTGTTGTTCACATGGGATAATATCTCACAGTGCTTTATAATGACAGTGTCATAGGATTAAGGCTTGTGAGACATAGGTCTGAGATAGAACATCTCCTCCCTGTTAATTTTATCACAACATAAGTCACATTATAGTATACCTTAAGGCCAGGTATGGAGTTCAGATGGCTGGGCGCATCTCTGTACATTCTCACCCTCTCCTCCAATCCATTGAGTCCAAGGGAACTTTACCCAGTTGCCGTTAGCAGCCTTGAATTGGATATTTTGTGGGCTTGATTTCCCTTTTATAATCAAATCTATGTAGGCCATCTAAAAAAGGAGATACTGTTTCTTTAATAAGTCTGCAAGATGGAAATCTCCCAGGGTACTGGGTTTATTTCAACTCAGTGTCATGCTATAAAGGGCTGTTGGTGTAACAAACACAGTGCTCATTTCTTACAATGCTGGCAAGTCAAATAAAGGTAACCTGATCACATGAGATTTAAGTACATGAGACGTGCTGGAAACATGCCATTGGCAGCGACTCTGTGCAGTGAGAAGGAGATGGTTTCTATTTAACCAGGTCTATTGAGCTGGGAAAAGGAACGGCAAAGTACTAATCTCAACTGCCCACTATTCACGATACTGGAACTGTCAAGTAGTTAATGCTAAATGCAAACAGAGTTTAACATGAACTTCTCTGTGATCTTGCGATAAGAGAGGACATAGTCAATAATCTATCATTGCAACATCATCTGTTATACACGGCACTGCTGAACATCAATCCTTCTCCATCAAAGTAATACATTGAGGCATTAGTGATCAGTGTCTTGATATATGTAAAATACTGACTTGATCTATTCCTCTAATACATGCAGCATAGATCAACAGAGGGAGATGGTGAGTTTACATGACAGTACGACACTGCTTGTTCATTTACCATTAAGTGGGGCCCGATTTAGGATTTATTCACGAGATGATGAGAGAATCAGATGAAGATGACCATTTGGCCCATCTGATCTCATCCCTCCAAAATAACCCATCCTACCATCCTCCTATCCCAGCATCAAGCTGCTACTTAAATGAGTCCAGTGTCCTGTCCTCAGTCACCTATCCTCATAACTTGTTCCAGTCGTTAATTACCCTCTTACTCTTAGAACCCATTGACATTAATTGATAAAGCAGTCTCTCTTGTGGTACTTTATCAAACGCCTCTTGTTAACTCTAACGATTTCAGCCTACTTTGGCAGAGTTTGCCAGTACATACAGCTCACCTATAGTGAATGACCTAAGAAGGAAATACAGGCAACAAGTGAAACTTTTTGACCAGACAGTAAATATCATCAGACAATATAGTAAATGTTGAAATGTATTTATCATTTAAAAGTGAGGCTTCATGAAAATACTTTTTAAGATATTTAAACATCCTTTCCTCTCTTTCTCCACAGCAGGCCCATGTATTTTTAGGGGAGGACACCATTAAATCGTCAGGCTTTCTGAAGTCCCATTTGCTCCACTTGTTACAGTCATCATCTTCAACACCAAGTCAGGTAAATGCCAATCTATTTTATGTCCGTGTCCAAAGGATAATTGTTCATTACACTAAGAGAAGCCTTGAGTTGTTCTTAAGTCAATGGTTTTAGCTACACGGGGGATTTTTAGCAGATCGAATTTAAAGTAATAATAATCCCTGCATTTGACATCACATCATCGAGACGTCTCGAAGCGCTTTACAGAATGTATAGTAAAGTGACTGTGTATTTGTGGGCGAACCCAGCAGCCAATTGCGCACAGCAGTGTCCCACAAATGGCCTCCGCTTAGGCTACCAGGCGCTGTATAAATATATTATCGTTGTCACCAAAAACATCAGGTATCACCACTCATTGCTCACTAGGACCCCTACATGCTGCATCAGATTAAAACTTTTGGCATGTTAACGGTTAAATAATCCAGCCAGTAAACATGCTTCAATAAAGGAATGTTAACAAGAATTGGGAATGCCCCTATGGAATTAGGTTTCAGAAAATTTGGTGCAAAGGTTTCAGGAAGACATTAGCTTTATAGATTAGAAACAGGGATACGTCAGTGACAATGCATCAATAGCAATAGAGATGTGTTGCCCTATGCATTCCACTACTGTTCCCATGTTAATGTTTCCATTACATACCAACAGGAGCCATGTTCACGAACAGATGTCAGGCTGGTTAACTGTGTCATTATGTACTTAGTGCCTTTCCTGACATATGCCCTTAAAGTACAGCAAGTGATTGTTGACTGGAGCAAAGCACAATTGCCCATTCATTACTCCAGCTCAGAGAGGACAGTAACAGCCTAGTACTTAAGACTGATGATAAATCCACTTTATTGCTTCCTTCATGACTAGGATAGAAGAGAACAATTTAAATTGATAAGATTTTGTGTGTGTGTGTGTCCGCTCCCTCTGCAGCAAGTGCATACGCAGTATATATCTACGTGCTCCACACAGGCTTCTTGTCTTTGTAAAGACTCTGACCTTCCAGTGACTGAGCCAGTGTAGGATACCCCGAGAGTCCAAAAAATAGTGAGACACATTGCGTGATGCTATGGCAGTCTGGCTGGATCCCAACAGCTGCTGAGTGGAAGACAGGCTCCGCTTCAGGCTTTTATACTGAATATAATGCAGCTCTCTCATTCTCTCTCTCTCCTACATTGCAATTCCTGGATATTCATCAAAGCCTTCTCCCGGGAGATAAAGTGGGATGGGATGGCTATGACAGAGTACATCTTGCACGGACAGTACAAGGAGTTGAATTAATGGACAAGATGACCTTTCCTTCTTCCTTGTTTTTTTAATTGCTTAATTATTAAATATGTTGAGTGTTAATTGAGCTCTGAGATACTAGCCCTGTTTTGCGGGACATTGCTCTGCGCAAATTGGCTATTGCCAATTTGCATACAAATACACACTCATTACATTCTACCGTAAATCCTGTGAAGCGCTTTGAGAGGTTTTGACGATCTGATAAGGCGCTATATGAAATGCAGTGATTCTTATCCCCTTTAAGCTGGAGAACACAAACTCCACATTGTTGAATAATTGACAGGAGTGATTTACCTACAGGTCTGGGAGGAGGGAGAGTTTGACAAAGTGAAAGTTTTTTTCTAAAAAGAAAAAGCATTTTCTTGGAACCAGTGGCTGGAAGGAGGCTTTAATGCATTCGCCGTTTGGGAAAAACATTTTTTTTATCCTCTTTTTCGAAGAAACTAATGTAAATTATATTTTACGTGGTAACTTTTCTGCAAGAGTGAAGGCGAGGAGTGTTGTGGGGATGCGGAGGGGAAGGAGGGCAGAACTGATATGGCCTGAAACCAGACAAGGTCAGAGGTGCTTTGGCATGATATGCTTTCCAGCGGATTATTAAGGAACAGTGCACAACCCAAGATACAATGATTAAATATTGTGGGAACCACAATAAAGATCGTGGATACCCGTTCGTAAAAGCAAGCTGCGAAACACACCTTATAGTAATGCTGAAGCCACTGATTTAGTGCTAACACTGATCATTTGTTTTAACAAGGTCTTTTATGCTTTAGCAATTTAAAAGATGATTTTCATGGCTGGTGAGAAAATAGCGTTAAAAAAAAAAGGAGCATTTCTAGTTGTACAACCTACCAGCCCTGAGATCTGGGCACAGTGTACAAGCAAAACATAGAGCCTGGGCTGCTGTTCAATTCGGAGTGAGCTCATTCATTACAGAGGTATTTGAGGTATGGCAGGGTAGTCACTGACTCCTGGTACGACCACCAGTTGACCTGAAACTCCCTCTCTAGAGCGTGTTAGTTTCGGCTGCAGAAACTGATTGCAATCCAAGAAATGTCACAGATTTTAAAAAAACAGAGTAAAATACTCCCCTTATATAGAAGCCCTCAGAAAGATTGGATTTTGTCTGAAGCTTGAAACATTAGGTCATCCTGATAAGGGAACTTAATCGTTTGCTTGTCTACAATTGGATGACGTAGCCAAGCTTCACTCTTATAACAGGGGTCCAACGTACCCCACAAAAAGGCTGCAAGAACATAGTCATTAAAAAGCACAAATAATATTCCACTGTAACAGATCAATGGCAAGCTATGCGGTTTCAAACTAGTCAATACCCCAACACACACTCTGGGGTCCCCAAGCCTTGGCTCTTGCCAGCAGGCTCCTAATACTTTCTGGAATGAGGTAAGCAAGATGAGTCCCTCCAGGGAGAGAGCGCGCATTCCATTCCAACAATCTATCTCTGGGATTTCCATGTGTAGGTGGGATGAATGAAAATCTCAGCTTGATTTGGATACTCTTAAATTGGTGACGGGTTTCCACACGTGTCAGACACCTGGCTGACCAAAAACCCCCCAAAAGGCCCAGACCTACAATTAAAATGTTAAGAAAACCAATGATTTTACTGCATTTAGAATTCTGTATACATATTATCCTTCAAATGCTTTTCATTTTAGAATGGGCAGATTATGCCTTAGAGATACAGTACAATGCCATAATCTACAGTTCTAATGCCATGGCTGGTGGGGCTTTCTTCACGACTTATCAAAGCGACTGAGTTGTGTTGGAAAGCACAGTAACTGGATTTGTGGTACGATGTGGCTACCACTATTTACTGGTTGGTTAGCACAATGCTTTGTGGAATAATCTGCTCACTCTAAAATGTAAAGCATTTAAAAGGTCTTCAAACTCTGCTGAAATTACCGTATGTTTCTCAACGATTTCACTGTAGATCTGTAGGTTTGATAAACATCAGTGTATTGCCATAAAACGGGATGATACAGTGGTATATATGGTGGAGTCCTGTAGCTTAGTGGTTAGAGCACGCGCCTCACAAATGGGGGAACCTGGGTTCGATTCCCGGGTGGGGCAAAACACTGGGCGAGTTTCCTTACTCCACATGCCTCTGTTTACCTAGTAACAACAACAACAACAAAATTACATTTATAGAGCGCCTTTCACGCCGGAAGAAAGGCCACAAAGCGTAAGTAGGAGCCTGGTTGTTAGTCAATTGGCCGATCGCTTTTACCGGTGGTAAGAATCCCTTAAAAAATTAATAGTAATGGTTACTCAATGCACGACTGCTCGCGGGACACTGCTTTGCGTATTTGGCTGCTGTGTTTCACCCACAAAATATACAGTCAATTCACATTACAGTATATTCTGTGAAGCGCTTTGAGACGTCTCAAAGACGTAATAAGGTGGTATATCAGTGCAAGTATTATTATTATATTGTGGAATTCACCAGGTAGTCGTGAATTTCAGTATTTCCCACTTCTGCACCATCCCGGTTCGGGTCTGTTTGAATAATAAACAGGCCTATCAAATTCACATCAAGAGCTGATGAGGGTGTGGAGGGGAAAGACAAGCTAAAGGATGGTCAAATCTAATTGATTGGAAATGTAGTGACTGATATTGTATACTGGCGACTAATCTGAATGGCCCACATGAGATTAACGTGTCAAATGGAGCCTAAAGTATTTGCATTCCTCAAAGTGGAATCACGTCTTCACTTCTTATTAAAGGCCAGACTGGAGATGGACAAGTACCTGCCATTCCCCAACCCCCCGGCCCCCACAATCCTGGAACAAAAGAAATACCGGAGAGAGAGTGCGTCCGTGGTGGACGAGTTCTTCGAGGAGCAGACTTCTCCGTACAGCTTGAACATTAACCTGATCCTTCCCGAGATCACCCACCTGAGAACGGGTCTGTACAGGCCACCCAAGCAACCGCTCGCCCAAGTCAAGTCCGAGCCGGTCACCGCTTTCACCCAGTCCTGCTCGGTGGCCAACCAACAGAGCCTGCCTGAGTTCACCAGTGTTTTCAGCGTTCCGCAGTCCGTTCCCGTCAACAACATCTTCATAAAGCAGGAAGCCCCCTCGCCGGAGCTCCAGATGTCAACCAGCTCCCACGAGCAGCAGCTTTACCAGCTGCCGGTCACCGCCAACTGCAACATGGCCTTGAGCGGCCCACAGCCACACGGTAACACCACAGTCATCGAGAGTCTTAATGGTGTTACCATGTCAACGAGGATGGCCGGGGTCACCAGCTTGCCTGGCCGGTCGGCGGTCAAACATTTCCCCAGCCCGAACGGCTTTGCGGTGCCGTCTCAGTTTTACCAGCAACAGCCGGCTACCTACCTGCCCCCCTCGCCCCCGAACTCCATCCCCAGCAGCCCGGAAAACCAACACGACATGATCAGCACGCTCTCCCCACCGCCGTCATACGCCGCCACCGTGGCCTCCAAGATACGTCAGCGTCACCCGCAGATCCATCCTCTCCAGACCAGCCTGCAGCCCACCATGCTGCCCACAAAATACAACCGGCGGCACAATCCGGAGCTCGAGAAGAGACGCATCCATCACTGCGACTTCCCAGGTAAGACCCCGCCCATCACCCCTCTTCCCCACCCGTCCCCTCCCCAAGTGACCTATCCGCTTACCCCACCGAGTTGCCCACTTATCCCAAGAAACCTCACCCACCTCCTCCCAAGACTCATCTCCTCGCATCCTCCCTCCACAAGACCTTCAGCATCTCACCACGAGCAATCCTCCACTCTCCCTCAACCCGTTGCTAGCACATGCTAAGGCCAGCAGCAGGGGCTGCCTGTTTCTGGAGCAGCGGGGAACACCGAGTCATGGCTACGGCGCAAGTGCAGGCTTCTCTCTCCTTGTTTCATTCAGCCGGGGCCTGGTGTGAGCGAGCGAGTGAGTGAGTGAGTCAGTGAGTGGAGCTTCTGCTAGCCCCACACAAAGTCAGGCCAGCAATAACTGGGAACGGGAGGGTGCGTGGGGGGGGCAGCGGGGTGGAAACGGCTGACAGCCGAGACAACTGAAATCACTCAGCAATGAGGTCCTCTAATACAGGAACATTTTGTTCTACAGGCTGCTCCAAGGTTTACACCAAGAGCTCGCACTTGAAAGCGCATCAAAGAACCCACACAGGTATGTCATCCTTCCTGACTGTCACCTATTAAAGCCCGCTTGTTTTCTGGTTCACACAGCACTACACAGTCCCACTAAACAGTGTCTGGAACAGAGGCAGTTAATCCCTCAAGTCCCTGACTGTCACACATCATTGAGGCAACTCTGCAGAAGTCAATTCCCTCCCTGACCAACCTGCACCTGATACTTTCTGCCGATGACAGCCATCAGAGGAGAGAGAAAGTGTGTTCTCTAATCCAGTCAAACGGAAATTTCCTCGTGCGTGTGGACCTCTATCATTTGGTTCAGAGACTCTTAGCACATCTCTTGGTGTCAGACACTCGGTTGATATATTAGAAAATTATGTTAGGGTCCTTTGGCATTTCAGCCGTTGGGGCAGAGACATCCTCCTGTCGTGAAAGGAGCAATACCAAGAGTCAGAATTATTTTGAAGTCTTATTACTTGGGAAGTAAGGATATTACAAGATGTGGAGCAAAGGCATTAAAAGATCTGACATGATCCAAAAGATTGGTGGAGCAGGCTTGATGGGCTGAGTGCATCTTCCTGCTCCTCCATTCCTACGGTCATCGGTAACTTAAGACTCTGGCATTCAACATCTACCGTAATAATGGAAGCACTCTGTAATCTGAACGTGTCGAAGTGCCTAGTTGATCATTGAAAGTTTGAGCCCTACATTCCAAAGTAAAAGCAAAAACCATTCCAGTCGAGGTGAACAGATACTGTGTGTCCCCATTTCCAAAGGGCCTCCAGGCATTAGATAGCCTTCACTGGAACGCAGCTCTGGTCTGGATTTATTTTTTCCCCTTCATTCTTGTGTAAGGGGATATTGCAGCCGCGTTTCACCCACAAAATATACGGTATATTCTGTGAAGCGCTTTGTGACGTTTCGAAGATGTGATAAGACGCTATGTCAAATCCAAGGATTATTATTATAACATTGTCAATTATTATCTCCATCTCAAAATTTAAGACCAAAGGACGTACTGTTCATACCTGGCCTTTTTCCCCTACTTGATTCTCCAGTTATTAACCTTTGGTTTGGGAAGCGAGATCTTTAAGACTTAATAGTTTTTGAGCGGGGACAGCTTTGCCGATGTTCCTAGGCTACAGCCACGCAGCGAGTTTTCCAACTGGGTTTAACCCCTCAAACGCCCCCAACCAAACACAGCTCTTTACATCACCTCCAAAGATAATTTGAATAACACATTAAGCAGAAAAATGCCTTCCTGCCAGTAAATCAGACATGAGTTGAGAGGACATAGAACACCTTGTTCCAGCTTACCACAAGTGCAGGAAGCCAAGGGAATTGAACCGCCTATGGCTATGTTCAGTCTATTTTTGCTGAGCAGTGCGGCGATAATGGACGAGGAGCCATTTGTCAAACAGGCATTTCCTTCACACACGTCACTTGTATAAATAAGGAAAATGCTACGAACTCGAGATTAGCTCTACACTTTCCAACCTCCGTGGAATAGAAAGCACAGCGTGCACTTGTCAGTTTGTTCATCGTTTGCCGTTTGAAGTAAAGGGAGACCAACCAGCCTGGTCCACAGAGCTTTGAATCAGAGCGGGTCCTGTAGGTTACAAAACAAGTGGAGTGAGTGGATGAATCCCGCTCCATTCATGAATGGACGGATATACGTGGAGTTCTGTAGCTCAGTGGTTAGAGTGCTCACCTTGCAAGCAAGACACCTGGGTTCAATTCCAAGCAGGGTGAAACCTTGGGCAAGTTTCCTTACTCCACATGCCTAATAATAATCCCTCTAAAAAACAAAACAATAATAAATTGGTCATTTTCAATCCATGACTGTTTGTGGGACACTGCTGTGCGCAATTGGCTGCCGTGTTTCGCCCACAAATATACAGTCAATTCACTTTACAGTCTATTCTGTGAAGTGCTTTGAGACGTCGAGAAGACGTGAAAAGCACTATATCAAATGCAAGGATTATTATTATTATTATTTTTGTATGGAACGGAGCGATTCAGACCAGGAAGGTCCCAGGGCTCAGATCCACACCAGTCTTTTCTAGAGTTAGTTGATCGAAGGAAGGACATTTCAGTTGACCTCACTATCCTTGAGCTGGAAGTGACACGAGAGGGGCCAAACATACGTATAACTAAGGGGTCCCAGATAGTTATCCTGTGCCCCCCACTGCCCCACCCATAAAGTGTACATTTGGGTTCACAGGGGGTCAGTCAAAAGAAAGTTATGGATGAAGATAATCCTTCTGCCCATTTTGATCTCAATATTGCAGAATACTCATCCTACCATAGAACCAGTACAGCATCAAGCTGTTTCTTGAACCATTCTTCCTAGTAACCCCAAACATCTTTCAACAGAAACGCTTTCTGGTGCATTATCCAGACAGACTGAGGTTAGAGGTGATGGATCGGGCACCAGATGCAGTCATGTACCTTGGGAGATAGCACTTAGAGAGGCTGGTAATGAGAACCCGCAGGTCTGAGCTTTGTACCAGTGACGGTCTGTCACTAGAGGCTAGCCCAAGCCTCCCCCACTCTATTTCTGCATGGCAATCGTGCAGGAAACTCAACCTTGCCTCAACAATACACACAATTTTGTTTGCACGCCAACCCCCGCCATCTCGCTTTCCCCCCAGCCCCAACAAATCAGGAGCCTCTCCTACTTTGTGCTCATCCTGCAACAAGTGACAAGAGCCTGTGTTGCGAGTCAGTATCAACGTCTTTATGAGAATGTGGAAGGAATTGCAAACGTGAATGAGGAATGAGTGGAAAACAGTGAACATTCCTATAGAGCAGAATAGTGCTATTCGTCGAGACTGAGCAGACTGGAGCTTATTTAGTCAGTTTGCAAACACTGGCTTCCGAACCCATGGGTTGATAAGATACAGTCACCTGCCAAGCGAATGGCTGTCGTAAGACAGGCTTACATTAGTGCGTTTACGTTCCTACCCCTATCAATGTTACAACACCCGCAAAGATATCCGATAGCAGCAAAGTCGGAAATGTCGTGCTCTCCTGATTTAAAATGAGGTCAGTAGTCTTTCAACAGTCCAGGCAAGAGGACATTCTTTCCATGGTTTCACAAGCCAAAGCAACTCTCAGCTGTGCTAAGCCATTGTTCGTGCAAAATATCTGTAACTGCACAATTTGATGTTAGGCTGTTTTCGTTTGCATACAGCTAATCCCTCCGGCTGCATGAACCCTTGAAATCTGCTGCTTGCTCTCTCAGCATCACATCACACCAGAATACAAACAAGGGCCACCCACACATACAACAACATGCATGACTGACTGGGCTTACATCCCAGAAGGACCTTGTTTTAAGTACAGTCCCATGGTTGAGTAATAACAACACAACACAGCAAATGCATTTATACTGGGGGTGGGAGGGCAGTGGTGGAGACGATATGATTATCTTGTTCAGCAAGTTTATTACTTCTGACATTTCAGGCCACAACTGGTGAAATTCACCTGGTCTGCCCCTGTTTTGCGGGAACATAATAATAATAATCCTTGAATTTGATATAGCACTTTTCACGTCGGGAGGACGTCCCAAAGCGCTTCACAGAACACACTGTAAAGTGAATTGACTATATTTGTGGGCGAACGCGGCAGCCAATTGCACACAGCAATGTCCCACAAACAGTCGTAGATTGAAAATGACCAATTTATTATTATTTTTGGAGGGATTATTATTAGGCTCTGTGTGGAGTAAGGAAACTTGCCCAAGGTTTCGCCCTCTGCCTGGAATTGAACTAAAGTCTCTCACTTGCAAAGCGAGTGCTCTAACCACTGAGCTACAGAACTCCAATCGTGTGTATTGTTGATCAATAATATTGATACTCATATTCAATTCCAGGCAGAGGGCAAAAACTTGGGCAAGTTTCCTTACTCCACACGCCTAATAATAATCCCTCCAAAAAACAAAAATAAATTGGTCATTTTCAATCTACGACTGTTTGTTGGACATTGCTGTGCGCAATTGGCTGCCGCGTTTGCCCACAAATATACAGTCAATTCACTTTACAGTGTATTCTGTGAAGCGCTTTGGGACGTCTCAAAGGGCTTCACAGAATACGCTGTAAAGTGAATTGACAGTATATTTTGTGCACGAATCATGGCAGCCAATTGCGCACAGCAATGTCCAACAAATAGTCGTGGATTGAGTGACCAAATTATTTAAAATAATAAGTAAAATAATTTCAATCTTGAAAGTTAATGTAGGCTTTTATTAATTCCAAGGGGTGAGCGATACTCTGGTATCGGACTCAGAGCCACAGTAAACAGTGGCTTTTCAGTCACCAGGTTAGAATCCGACACTATAAAGAAGGAGTTGGCAGACTTTATTGCAGGAGGCCACTCAAAAACACATTAAAACAGAATATGATGCCTGACAATCCACCAGATCTCACTCAATCCAGAGCCCTGTTAAAGAAACTTGCTAAACCAGATTTTTCTCATGTTATTCCAAGCCATGTTGTAACACCATTGAAGTTGGTGCTTTGGAAATCGGAGCTGTGGCAATTTTGTGCAACCCCTCCCCCCCTCCACCACTCTCACCCACACACACACACACACACAGGATACTCCAGTCAAAGGGGCCCTGATTAGCTTGTGTTCTGGTTTTACCTGTCTCAGTGCATTGCATTGTTCCTGTCATACAGATACAGGCTGAAAAAATCCTTACTCGGAAAACTGATCCAAGCTATTAAGCAGACCTAATGAACTGCCAATGCAGTGGGGAAGAAAGTGCTTTCACAGTACCTTGGATTACCTGTTGGTAATCCCCCATCAATCAGTGGGAAGTGGCAATGCCTCAGCGGGTGATCAATGTAGGAGTGGTATAAGGACAGCTCACTGTGTTGCTGAGAAGGAAATCTGTAATTGGAAAGGTTTGCTTTGCACGAGCCTCACTGATCAGCAGAGCTCTATTTGTTATTAACCAAAGCAAATCGAGAGAGTTTAATGGATTTGAAACACCTCATTCAAGCTCTGTCTCAAGACCTAACCTCTATA